ATTCAACTGTTCTACTGTTTGAGCGTCTTGCTGAATATCCAGCGATTGTTCCTCTGGAGAGAGGCACAGGAGGAGAAGATATCTTTATCGGCTGATAAAGATATTGTAAGGACTCTTAACTTGGACCGTAATAGTGAGTCTTACTGGATGGAAATATAGTGAATGACTAATGGACTGAATGACAATGCTTTAAACTCTAAATGGATTAAAAACTATTTAAACTACAAACAGTGTTTGTGTTCAGTGTGTGTATACTCTGGGGCCCTTCCGCTCTCGTTTGGCTGCCTGGCTTGACTACTGCTGCAATACTCTATTAGGGGTTAATCCCCAAACACTAACAGTATTAATCAATAAAGAATGGAAGCACAGGTAGCCCTCACCTTACGATGGAAACAGGGACCAGGATTGCTGTCACTAAGAGATGCGATAATAAAGTGCATCCTGGGCAGCATTGCTTAGTGATGCCAATCCCAGCCATCCCGATTGCTGACATAATCTCATGACTGGTACCAGCAACTAGATCCACATGTAGAGAGTTCAAACTAGAGGGTTCATTACTTTATTATATTCTTCCTATTATACAAGAATCTCCCTAGACTCCTTCCCATCTCTTGAGAAAAGATAGATAAGGTTCAATGGAGCTTAGGAGCGGTCAGTCCTAGATCTTTTGCATCTGTGCAATGATTCAAAGCTAATCCCTTGCTTGAGTCCTCCTCCCTCTCTGGCTGAGTGTTTCCTGACAACTCCAAGATGCATGGGTCATTAAGCAGAAAAAGGCAAGAATCCCATGTAAAGAGCACAGGGGTGCCATATGGGTGGAAAATGCTGGGGGACACCTAATGCAGGGCACACACAAGTTGGGGGGATAACTTTAAATGGCCACAATAAATGGATGTAAGACAAGGACTACCTCTATAGTTTTGGACACTTAATGTTAAGGCAAGAATCAATGGAAAAGATTCTGATGCATGAAAAGACAAGGTGACTAAATATTATCACTGATGACCACAAACATAACAACACAAAGATACAGTTACTGAAAGACAGAAATAAAGTCCATTGGGGACTTTATTAAAACAAAAAACCTGCCGTATGTAAGAAATCAATTCCAAAAAGTGAGATCCTTTGTGTGAATCAGAAGAAATAGTCTTAAGAAGAAATGAAGGGCCACAAGTAGAAAGGACATTTTATTTATTTATTTATTTTATATATATGCCGGCCATCTCACCACTTTAATGGACCAATTAAAGAAAAAGAAATAAAAACTAATAGATAAGATGTAAAAATGCTAGGTAAAACGAATGAAGAAAAAAATTGATATTTACTTGTCATGAAAATTACTGGTCAGAACACTTTGAAGAAAAGAAACTGATACTTGATAGAGTAAAGAAGAATACTAAAGTATAAAGTAATACAACCTCTAGAACAGGTCTATCAAACTGGCAGCCCAAGGCCCAGATACGTCACATGTATGCCACGCCCATCTCGACTCCACAAAAGCAAAAAACATCATGATACATCACAATCCCACCCATGATGCAATCGAGTTTGTCACCTGTGCTCTAAAAGCTTTGGACTATGATTTTCATAATCCATGATTATTGAGAATACCGACTTCAGGTTTGGGGAATTGAACTCAAGATATCAGTGCAAAAAGAAAAAGACAGCAGACTTTGGAAATAATTCATACAGAATTTAGCATTTTATACAATGTGAACATATGTTTTTATTGACCAGTTTAAGTAATAAATAAAGCTGCGGTGGTGCAGAGGCTAGTATGCAGTACTGAAGGCTACTTCTGCTGCCTGCTGGCTGCTTGCGATTTGGCAGACTGAATCTCACCAGGCTCAAAGTTGACTCAGCCTTCCAGTGGGTAAGTGGATAAAATGAGGACCCAGATTGTTGGGGGCAATATGCTGACTCTGTAAAACCTCTTAGGGAGGGATGTAAAAGTACTGTGAAGCAGTATATAAGTCTAAGTGCTATTGCTAAATAGCTGCCATATTTAAAACACAAACAATCACTCTGTAGGATTGTGCTTTCATGCAAAAAACTGATAAGTAGAATTAATAAATCCTAATGTATTTGAATGATACATTTATAAGGATTCAATTTTCATAATTTTCACCCAAATGCATTTGAAAAAAATTAAGCCATATTTGAAATAGCAAATGTGATACACATTATGCTCATATGTTTCTGAGTTGTTTTTATGTTTTTAATAAACACATGTGTTTCTCAGATACACATACTTCAAAGCATGAATTGGGGAAAATTAAGTTTGACTTGCAGTTCTCTTTCTGGAAAAAAATTAATATTCATTTTCTTTCCTTATACCAAATGTTTTCCATTAGGGAAAAAAGAAGGGAGAATCAAATTGTTTTACATATCTGTTGCTTAAAAAGTATAAATACTATAAATTATATACTGAAATTTTGCTATCCTGTGGGTTGCTTAAAAAAAATTCCAGTATTTAGTTTGCCTCTTAGAACAATCCTGTACATTTTATACTTGGAAATAACTCTCAATATGTAATGAAAGTTATTCCCACATAATGCTTACATGATTTTAACATTAAATACAGTATTTATAGAGGACATAGTACACATATTTCACTTTTTGTTGGTTTCTATTTCAGAAATTCTCAGATTTTCTCAATTCAGTAACCTTACCGTCTCAGTAATTTTTTCATGGTGCCCCTAGTTCATGTGATGTTCAAAATACGTCAAAAACTGCTGTATTTCTCTAGAAAAACTTAAATATAAGGTAGCACACTTATGAGTTTCCTGTAGGGGCCTCGGGCTCCATGGTGATCAGTTTGGGAACCTTGGCTCTAATTTATAACTCACTGGTTTTGTTTGTTTAATACCCTCAAATACGCACATTTGATACCCTCAAATATGCACATAAACAATTCTATTTGGCCCTATAAGGGATGCCTAAGATAATTCACAATCACTAGTGCTCATTGTTGAAAAGGATACAGCTCCACACATATACTTACATGCAGTCTTGTCACATAAAAAGATTCCCCAAATGATCAAAGAAATTATGTTCTGATTACAGTTAAAAATTAAAGATTATTAAAGCAAATTACAATATAATGAACAAGTCCACAAATAATATTAAAGTGAAAAAAGGAATAAAATGATCATTATCCCTAAATTTAAACTGATTATATGCCAGCAGTCGATTTCATTAGTTGCATTAGTTTGACCTTCTTTATATTTAATCGTTGTTTAATCCTTGTTAAACCAGGTCAAATTCAACTTAACTTTACATTAAAAATTTTCATATGAAATAACCTTAAAATGGCAAATCACAATTCTGACATAGACCATATCAGAATTTTGACTGGAATTCTTGGACATACAGAAACCAGCAGCATGCAGTGTTGAGGAATTACCAGTTAGGCTTAGGTGGGGGAGACAAACGAAGAACTAGCTTGGAGTTGTTGCATAGCCACAAACAGCATAAGCATGAACTCCCCAAAGTTCTTTGGCAAACCCTTATGGGAATGCAGCAAGGCAGGCTGCAGGACTGGAATTGCTGGAGAAAGGGGCTACTGGTTGTTTAGCATTCTGAGTTTGTTGCTGAACTAATTGAAGCACTGTTGCCTTCAAGTTCCTTATCTCTGCCTTCTGTTGATGTAAGCAAGGTTCCACTATCTCCTAGGGCAGGGGTCTCCAACCTTGGCAATTTTAAGGCTTGTGGACTTCAACTCCCAGAATTCCTCAGCCAGCTTAGCTTAGCTAAGCCAGCTTAGTTTAGCTGGCTGAGGAATTCTGGGAGTTGAAATCCACAAGTCTTAAAGTTGCCAAGGTTGGAGACCCCCGTCCTAGGGGAATCCAGCAGCTGCCTGTGGGTCCTGGTGTATTTTCTTTTACCCAGGGGTGTGAGAAATGAGCCTAGTAAAATTAATGTCAGGCACAAACAATGAGATCTACTTGTGAATAGCCTCAGGTTGTAACTTTATCATTCATCACCTATGTTACAAGAATCTCATCAGATTGCTTGCCTTCCCCTAGGAATGACTAGATAAGGCTTCATGGATTTCAAAGGAGGTCATGTTTATGCTATTTACAGCTAGGCAACAACCTCAAGCTAGGCCTTCACTTGACTCTCTTTTCCAGCCTAGCTGGCAATTCTCCAATATACAGGCACTATATCACAAGAAAAAGAAAGCACTCTTAACATAATTTGGATAAGTTTATTTCAATTTATTTAATTACATTTTTAACAAGTTAAATTCATATGCTGCCATGTTATTTTTAAAACACTTGCTGCAGAACACTTACAGTATTATGCATATTCATCAAGTAAGAAAAGCTGTCATAAATATTAATGAATGTAATACACACCATGATTATTAATATTTTAAGAGTTTATTAGTGGAATGCAAACATTCCCTTTAAAAATGATTCTGGTCAAAATGTCACAAAGAAAAGAAAAATCCCTCTACAATGTCTGATGTTTGTTGAATGTTTCTTGAATAAGCTCCAATCTATATGATCACATTAATAGACTAGATCTATTTACTTGGGTAACCTAGTGAGATAAAAGAACAATAGATTTCACTGACTATCAGAAATCAATTTCAAAACTCTCCTCAAAAAACTATTTGCTGGGAGAACCATAAACAATTTTACTTCCAGAGCAATAAGATTCACAATGACAGCTACACCCATTTTCAAATATAGGGAATATATTTTAAGTCTTCTGAAATGTAAATTCATAAAATATATGCTTTTTATAAAAGTATTTCCCACAAGAAGACCTTTTTTTATTTAAATGGCTATATCTAGTGCTTGCTGACCCTGCTGGAAAGTCAAAAATTTCATACATAATTTTCATTAGACAAGAACTGAAGCAGTTTGTTTTTTTAAACATATCATTAAACCACACATATTCAAAGTAATATTCTTCATTTCTTTACCTCACTATATGTCCAAGTCTTAAAATGACACTTTTGAACAGCTATTTTTTTTAATTTCACTTACCCACAGTATCACAAGGCTCATCTTTATGCACACAGAAATCCTTCCTAAAATTGGGATTAAAAAAAGACAAACCCTTAAAATTCTTCACCAATAGTGTTAAAGGATTGCACTCCTACAATATATACAGATGCACTCTATGTAAATATAAGCATTCCTGTTTTTATAATAAAATGTTTTTTGTAATAAGAAAAGAAAATAATAATTCAGTGCATAGGCTTTCTTTGAATTGTGCAGTAGCAACACTGTACATTTAGGTATACTACACTTAATCTTACGCTACAATAAACATTGTCTGGGAAAACCTGTCTTTTAAGCTTTGTAACTAAATAATACACTTCTAATTACTGCACATTCAAACTTCATTGAGCACTTCATGTGGCCCTTTCTCCATTCTTGTGGATACATAGATTTGGGTTTTGCTATTTGTTGTTGCCATTTCCTTCTGAATTTGTTGAAACCCTCTATTGCTTCATTTTTTTGCTTTTTCTCATTATGAAAACAGAACAGAAATATAATAATGAGGAAAGATAAAAGGTAAAGATTTCCCCTGCCCATTCATATCCAACATAAACAGCAAACTAAAGTTTGTAAACAACAAACTAAAAGACTCAAGGTCCATCCCACCCCTGATAGGACCTAATGGTAAAGACTTCAACAAGGACACCATTAAAGCCAACATCTTTAACACATTCTTTGGCTCAGTATTTGTAAACAGCAATGGATCATGCCCAATATTTCCTAGCCGAACCATAGACAACTACAATGATCTAATACATATCAATTTTACAGAAGACAATGTTGAAAAAGCACTACGCAATCTAAAACCATCTCTATCTATTGGACCGGACGGAAAATGTGCCTACTTCTTAAAAAAGCTATCCACTGCCACAGCTGAACCTCTAAGCATAATCTTTGAAAAATCTTTCAGGACCAGCTCCTTGCCTAACCTATGGTCACAAGCCACAGTCATCCCCATCTTCAAAAAGGGAGACCCCAGCCTAGTTGAAAATTACAGGCCAATCTCCTTATGCTGTGTCACCTGTAAAGTCATGGAATCAATTATTAACCAATCCATTGTCCTCCATTTAGAGACCTACTCTCCAATAAACTATTTGGTTTCAGGAAAAAACTATCCTGCAATCTGCAACTCTTACACTGCAAAAACATATGGACGACACAACTCGACCAGGGCAAAGCAATAGACGCAATCTACATAGACTTCTGTAAAGCCTTTGATTCAGTGGTACACGACAAACTACTCCTAAAACTAAAATCTTATGGTATCTCTGGACAACTGCATAACTGGATAGAAGCATTCCTGTCAAACAGACAACAAATGGTCAAAAATGGGAGTGTCCTATCAAATTCTGTACCTGTCAACAGTGGTGTCCCCCAAGGCAGTGTTCTAGGACCAACTCTCTTCATACTCTACATAAATGACCTCTGTGATCATATTAAGAGCAACTGCGTTCTTTTCGCTGATGATGTAAAGCTGTTCAATACCACAGACAATACTGCTATCCTTCAAAAAGATCTTGACTATGTATCAGAATGGTCAAACAAATGGCAACTTCAAATCTCAACAAATAAATGCTCTGTCTTACATAATGGCAAAAAAAATCAGAAAATAAAATACAGGCTGAATAGTCAAGACCTTGTTGATGATCCAAGCTCTGTAAAGGAGCTTGGAATACTCATCTCTAATGATCTAAGTGCTAGAGCCCACTGTAACTACATAGCCAAAAAGGCGTTCAGAGTTGTTAACCTAATCCTACATAGCTTTTTCTCTGGTAATATCACACTACTAACTAGAGCATACAAAATATTTACTAGACCAATACTTGAATACAGTTCATCAGTCTGGAACCCACATTACGTATCTGATATTAGCACAGTTGAGAAAGTCCAGAAATATTTCACAAGAAGAGTTCTCCCTCCTCTACTCATTGTAGAATACCTTATGCCACCAGACTTGAAATTCTAGACCTAGAAAACCTTGAATTACGCCATCTTCGGTCTGATCTAAGTATGGTATATAAAATCATACATTGCAATGACTTACCTGTCAATGAATACTTCAGCTTCAACCATAACAACACAAGAGCACACAATAGATACAAACTCAAGGTTAACTGCCAAAACTTGATTGCAGGAAATACGACTTCAGCAACAGAATGGTCAATGTCTGGAATACTCTACCTGACTCTGTGGTTTCTTCCCCAAACCCCAAAAACTTTAACCTTAGACTGTCTACTATTGACCTCACCCCTTTCCTAAGAGGTCTGTAGGGGGTGTGCATAAGCGCACCAACATGCCTACCGCCCCTGTCCTATTGTTTTTTTATTTTTCTTATATGTACCCATTTCATGTATTCATAACTATGTATATACTTATACCCATTATCTTGTAAGCGATTGAGCATCTCTTTGGGGGAAAGGGATTTCAGCCTAAGGGCACATGTACTATCCAATATTTTGAACAACCCTCATGCTGCCCCAGTGCAAATCAAATAAATCAATCAAACTCGGGGGGGGTGCTTATCTCTGTTTCCTAGCCGAGGAAAAACAGTGCTGTTCGAAGATGCTTCTGTGAACATGTGGCCAGAATCGAAGTGGCACTTATTTATCTATTTGCATGCTTTCTAACTGCTAGGTTGGCAAGAGCTGAAACTGTCAACCTTCTAGTCAACAAGCCCAGCATCTTAAATGCTAAGCCACCAAGCCCCTCTTAATAATGAGGAAAAGAAAAGGACAATGTTTTGCTTCCAATTCTTGCACTCCACTATTGAATTACTCTGCATATCATGCTGACTGCACTGGGGCAGCATGAGCGTTGTTCAAAATATTGGATAGTACATGTGCCCTTAGGCTGAAATCCCTTTCCCCCAAAGAGATGCTCTGAAGTGACATACATTGTTTTAAATCTGTAACTTCTGAGACAGTTCTTTCTGATCCTGTGACTCTAACATCAAAAAAGTTAAAAAAGATTTCAATTCTACTTGGATATTATTGTACTCTATTGTATAAATTAAATAACTAACTTGTGGAATAATCTCATATATGAATCTGGAAACATTGATACAACTGTTCAAATCTGTTCAAATCTATCAGATAAGCTGGTCTCTTTTGCTAGTGGTTTATCAAGGTTACCAAAGATTCAACAGACCGTTATTCAAGGGGAATATAGTAAAGCTTTTAAGAGATTTATGATATATTTCTAAAGCTTAACTAATGAGAGAAAAGTATTTCAGGCAAGAATGGGCAACTACACTGAGTCATTACCATAAATTATACCTTGTTCATAAAGATTTAAACCTATTAAATACAGCACTTCAAGAGGTCCTTCAGGCAATGCAAAAATTGATTATTCAGCTCCTAAAGATAAAACCTATAATTATATATTAATCTCTTCAAAGAAACAAGTAAAAAGGCAGTCAGATACGTAAAAATATATAAAAGGGGAATGGGGTTATATATAACATATGACAAGAAAATACAGTGTAAGAAAATTGCAAAAGAAAACTACAATGAATTTAAATTGAACTGAACTTGGCTAGTTATTAAGGTTAAATTCTATTTTTATAACAATATTTTTAAAATATTTATTTACTCATTTATTTGTTATATTTATGGCCTGCTCTAATTAACAAGGATTCTGGGCAGGCCATAAGTCATTAAGTAACTTAAATTTACAATTTAAAATAAAATTTAAAACAATAATTATACTTCAAAGTAATATTTTTAAATCAATCTCTATTATCTCTATAAAATTCCAGTATCATCTGTCCTACTAACTTAAAATCAGGTCAGGTATAATGCTTTATTGAACATTTAAAAAGTTTCCATGTGTTAATGCATTTCAGCTTAATTAGTAAAAGCCACAGGTCTATGAGACCTAGAGACTGTTAGATTATTTATCAATTACTAAGACTGTGCTTATGATCATTCAGGCATCATACATATTTTTATTATTGTCACACAGTCAGCCAGATGTTCAGATTTGATTTGGCATTTTTGTTTGCCTATCGTGCCCTTCCCAAGGACTTGGGTTTAGGCAGAGGGTGTTTGAGGGTGTTAAAGATATTGTTTTAGGGTGAAAGTTGCCTTTTGCAATTGACTGGTGGTGATTTTGTCAATGCTGTTGGTGTTCAAGTGGTGCGCCAGATGTTTTGGGATTGTACCCAAGGGACCTATCACTAATGGTACTAACTTTGCTTTCTTTTGCCACAATCTACATCTATTTGCAAGTCTTTATAATTTTGTGATTTTCTCCAATTCTTTCCCTTCTAGTCTGCTGTCTCCAGGTACTACCCTGTCCACTATACATATTTTTTTTGTATGTCTTGTTGTATCTCGGGTGTTATGTAGCAGGTGCTTATGACTAAGAGATGGTTCTGATAATGGAATGTCTGCAAGAATATCTACTTGTGGATTCAGCTCTGATTTGACCTCAAGAATTAGAAGTATCCAGTTAAACCAACCATCAATTATATATACAAGATATGGATTTCCTTGAGATGAAGGAATCTACAATGCTACAACAACAAATGGTCTTGGTACAGGAAGATGGTTTAGAGGAGAGACTGAAAATAAAAGTTCTTTACTGCAAAACAAGGCCAAATAGTGATCAGTTCACAGATTGGTGTTTAAGAAGCAGTTTTAAACACAGTTACTTATAAAAAATTTCTTTATCAGTAAAATAAGCTGCCTTTCTGCAGGCAAAAAAAACCTATTGCAAAGAAACAAAGTATGTCCTATAGTGGAGCATACATTAGTTCTAAACGGAAATAATTCAGCTGCTGAAATTGTTGTAATCCTTTTTATCTCAATACATCATGTTAAGGAAGACTGTGAGAATTTTTCATGGCAGAAATATTTTTGGTTGAGTTAGCTGCCAAGACTCTAGCATTTTATGGAACTCTCTCTCCCTTGAGGTGGAATCAGCACCCAGGTTAATATTCTGTAAGCAAGGTTACATTTTTTAGAAAGCCTTTGGACTGCAGTGGTCCAGCCTAAGTGTTCATCCCTCTATAATTAATTTTGGAGTTTATTATTATATATTTCTATTTTGTGTCTTGCTGCATGATAACTAGATAACTCCTTTAGACAGGAGCAGGTTATAAGCATTATACATACATACATACATACTGCAAATAAATAAATAATACAGAAAATAGGCAAATAAGAAAGTACTTCAAAGTACATAAAGTACACAAAATTATTCAGAATTCTCATCTGGAATCAGTTAATCGAGAAAAAAGTTTCCCTCTCAGGCAACATAAATGAAAACAGTGACTAAGTAACAAACAAATCAAATATAATGAAATTTCCTTTCCAAAATGATTTTCACCAAATCCATGCAGTGAAAATATAGGAGGGGAAAGGGGAGAATTCTCCCTCCCTAATCTATTGACAGAAGCAGTTTTGTCTAGAAAGATTTCACTGGAACAGAGTGCCTAAAATCTTTGCATGAGTTTCAGAATCACTAATATACAAGAGGAAAACTTGCAAAGTACCTGGTGATTAATACAGCTGCATCCACTGGTGATACATTTTCATTCCAGCTTGTTGACATTTCTAAATGTATGTCATTTTTTTTACCAAATTCTTCATGTTGCCATTTGCAAAAACTCGCCAGCATTTTTTCACCATGATGTCCAATATACATCTCTGCCTGAAAATTATAATAGTTTAAGATAATATCCCTTAAATGAAAATATTTTTTTGCAGCAAAAATTCCAAAAAGTTTTGGAACAAAGTTTCAGAAACAATATAGTTGCATTGTATTCACAACAATACTATTTTCTTCTCCAGCCTTTTATTATATGGTGTCCTTTAGATGTTTGGGAGTTCTGAGAATTCTCAGAATTCTGGTAGAAAATTCCAAGACCTAAGAATATTGATAAAAAGTTAGGTAAATATAAATCCTACAGGTTTAAGTTTTCTATTGTTGAAATATTTTGATTTGCTGAGCATATCTTGATCAACAAAATCAAGCTATTTAGAAGTCTGTTTAACCTTAATTTATTAATTCATTAATTTAATATAAATATATTAATTCTATTTATTTTGTAAACCCAAGAGAGCATGCATTATGCCCACTCCTATTTACACCATAAAGACAATCCCATGAGGTTGTCTGGCCTAAAATAGAGAAACTGTCCCCAAAGTTGCTCATCTAGCATCTTGCTTAAGGAAGGAACATAATCGTCTCCTGGTTTTTAGTTGAGCACCTTAACCACTATATCAAACTGGCTTTTATATTATTACATTTTATATAATTTCAAACTACTTTAAAGATTTAAGTGTATTTATTCGAAGTTCAAAAGAATTTGTGTTTGTTTCAGCAGACAGGCAACTAATAATATCACCTAATTATGAGGATACCTAGCCAAATGAAAGTGTCATAATAGAATGTTAAAATACATTTAGAATGGCATAGTCCTTCCATTTATTAAAAAATATTTATATTTTTATATTAAAAAAAACAGTTGAACATATTTAAGCATTAGATTGCTCTGACTGGGGCATTTTGAATGGTTGAAAGGGTCAAAAGTTCTCAATCAAGCCTCTTTTTCTGCATTTATTTGTTCAATCTAGCTGCAATAAATCATTTCTAATTCTTGTTCCTAGCAACAAATGGCAGGGTCACAATCCAGCTTCAGGTTGCTATCACCTGAAAAGGTGGCCTGCAAAGCATCAAGATAAAGCTTCAGGAAAGGAACAACTTTTCTCCTTATGCAAACAACCTTTTCTACCCACCCCTGCTATATCTGCATGATCAAGCAGTGGAATTAGTCTTAGACTTAAAACTATCTTGTACAAAGTTTCTCTAGAGGTAGCCTCCCAAGAATGAAGGGGGGTGGGGGGAGCCCACATCCCTGAAGGAAAAAGTTAAGAAAAATATACAAAAATATATTGACAACAGGAATGGAGTTCACCTTTCTCAAATCACGCTTTGGAACTTGCAAGTAAATCATAACAGACTAGCCCTGCAGGATCCCAAGAAAGAACAGACTGTTTCTGGAGCATCAGCTAAATTGGATGGTTTTTGTACAGCTGTAATTGATATATTATTCCATAAATGAAAACTAAAAAAGAGCTATCTCAAAACGAAATTATGGTTTAAATTATTGTATATGAAAGATGGGTCAAATAGTGATGTAAAGGTTACTGTTCAACACCAATACTGTATCAGGTACTGGGAAATGCAGCCATGCTATGAATTCCCACCTTTTGGCCCTCTCTCAAACTGTTTAAAGGCAAAGCAGTGTCTTTATTCTTTAGGGAAGGTCAGCAATCTACAATTTTCCCTTTGGTTTCACTTTCATTTTAAGCCATTGACAATTGCAGATCCTTGTATCAATGGTTTGCCTTTATTTAGTGTACAGAGTGGAAGTGGAAGTGGAAGTGGAAGAGATAAATGCAGTACTTTCTTACTGGAGTCTCATGAAGCAGAACAAGCTTCGTCACCCGAAGGTTCATTTGAACTCCAAGGCTCTTGTGCTGGAAAAGATTAAATACCTGAAAAGAAAAGAAATACAATAATGTAAAAATTAATATGATAAATAACAGATTGTTTGAGGCATCTTCTTAAAATTCTGTGGAATGAGTTGTTTTCAATATTTTCCCAAATAATTACAACATGACAACCTATTCAGGATACAGAGGATTCTACACAAAACATGTATAGTTTATGTTTGTAATATTTTTTTTCATATATTCAGTTGGTTGGCAGTGAGACGTTAGGATTATCAGCACCCTCAGTTTAGTGTCATTAAATTCTTATCAAACAAGATATAGAATTTTATATTTGCAAGATACCGGATTCGATTTTTTTTCTCAATATATATGGCAATAATAATGAGCCTGGATAGTAGGAGGAAAAAAAACGGGCTATTTTTTATGATCTATACCAGTAGTGGCTAACCTTTTGGGCACCAAGTGCCAAAATGGGAGCACACACGTGTGCCAGAAACCAGAAGAACAGCTCCCTGATGAGCATACATAGGAGTGCCGGAAGCCTGGAGCTTAGTTTCCCATTGCGTGCATGCACGCTGGGAACCTGGTCTTCCGGTTTCTAACATGCATGCGCTTGCGAAGACCAGCTGGCCAACATGCACATGCGCTCCATGGAACTGCTTTTCCGGTTTCTGGCACTCACAAGAGGGCAAAGACCAGCTGGCCAGTGCACGCATGCACTCCAGGGATCTGCTCTTCTGGTTTCTGACACTCCCATGCATAAAGAACCCAGAAGAGCAATGGGCAACGACTGGTGTGCCTGGAGAAATGGCTCTGCGTGCCACTTCCGGCACACGTGGCATAGGTTCGCCATCTTGGATCTAAACATTCCAAACGAACAGTGGACTTAATGAGATTATTTTGTGTTGGATCTTGTCTTAGTGTCAATGTAAAAGTAGTAGCTTTCTTCTCTTTTCTAATTCTATTAGCTCAGGGGTGTCAAACACAATTTGAGGGCTGAATCAGGGCTGTGGTTGACATCAGGGGTCCGAGTGGGTGTGGCTGACTGGGTGGGTGTGGTCAACTGGGTGGGCATGGCCAGCTTGACAGCATTCCCCAAACTGCTGGCATGTTTCCTCTTCCCATTGGGTAAACCAAGCCATCGCTAAGTTGGCCTGATCTTTCCTCTTCGCACCGGGTGGAGCAGGCCAAAGTACACCGGCCTGATCTTTCTTCACACTAGGTAGACCTGGCCGATCTTTCCTCTTCATATTGGGTAGCCCAGGGCAGCTCCATGGGCAGGAGCCGACCACACTGCAGGCTAGATCCAGCTTGCGGCCTTGAGTTTGACACCCCTGTACTAGCTCATTATTAGGCTATATTCTCTATTTTATATAAGTTATATTTAACTTTAAAGTATTATTTCGCTGGAAAGATCTATATTTTCTTACCATATTTAGAATAGTTAAAATAAATCTCCTAGCAGCATCTGCTCCATGATAGGAAACCATTGCTGGATCTGCAATCACTACAGTCTCCACATTATATTCCTGAGGTAATTTATAGGAATATCTCTTTCCTCGCCCATTTTCTGTGCCTTTTTGACCCCTGACTCTTCTTTTCTCTGCAATAGAAACAATAGACTTTGTACCTGGAATAGTGGAATAAAACCCAAGGAGGGCCACGTTTAAAATTACATTTAAGCATGGAACATTATATTATTTTAAATTATTATAGCTCAGAACCAAGCTTTATCAAATAAAGTAGTTTTAAAAAGGAGCAACTTTGAATTCCATACAAAAAGTGTAGTATAGAGCCAATTACTAATTTATTATTTAGTAACAACTATTTTAGATTTTGGATCAGAAGTTTTCTCAAACTTTTCTGGTAATGGTATAAATGACAACACAAATATAAGTAGTAGATACACATATAATATAGTGATATAATAGAATGCGGGGATTTTTTTGTTTGTTTACCTTAGATAGCCTACTTACAGGACATATCTGAGTTAAGTACTCATCATAGCTTTACATAGTTTTACTGATCTGTAAAAAAATTGCAAAATATAAGACTAGTTTTAAAAGATAATGGAATCTTATTCAGGTTGTGAGCATTTATTTTAACTGATAAACACAACTTGAAAACTGCAAGGAAAATCATCTTGACGAGAAGAAATTTGTAAAATCAGGAAAGAAAAGTGGTCCCATTCCAAAAGGGAGTTAGCAAATTATTTGTTCTATTAAAATCCTGACACAGCATTGCTCTTACTATCTTACTTACTAATTTTAATTCCAAGTGAAATATGTTTTATTCTGTTTATAAATGGAGGCAAATAATGTAATGTAGTGGGAAATCTCAGTAACTTTACTTGAATATGCTTATCAAAACAGATCCAAATAACCATTACTGAAATAAATGAAGATTTGTTCAACTTTCTACCAGTAGACCAGAATTCTCAGCCTGGTACTTATAAAATATTCCCAGAATTAATGGTAAATATGCTTATTTGCAATCTTGAAAGTTGAAGTCCATCACTTATGGAAGGCACCAAGCTGGAGAAGACTGATTTTAGGAGAAGATAATAGGGAACTCCTGTAAAAGGAGTCAGGCAAACAGAACAGTGAGAGATAAAGATTTACATAAAGTACATATTAAATTAAAATATATTAACAGACACTACATTACCAGAAAAAACACCACAGTATTGACTATGAGAGATGGATTTTTCAGAGGGTTTTTCATGTATGGATCTTTTACGCCTGCATATACGATGTGCTTGACCTATCACAGCCAAGCTATGATTGAACGGCTCAATAAATAAGAAGTTGTCATTCATCTGCAAAAAACCAATCTGGAGGAAAAACAAAAACAACAAATTAACACGATTTTGTCATGCTATATAGAAAATAAAATATTTAAAATTATGTTTTAAGAATTGTAGCCAAAGTCTACCAAATGGCATTATGTTGTGATTGTTCTGTTTTATGAGCGGATCCAGCAAAATCAAGTGCCATAGCTTTTAGGAAAATATTAAAATATTACCCCCTTCATTTCAAAACGCTAAAGAGTTTCATTTCTTTTCAAGAAATGTGTTGTGTCAATTAAGAAAGCAGCCCAACATTTCTAAAGAATCACACACCTCAAATTTCTGGTTTAGACTGTGATTAGATTAGATGCCCATAGTTATTCATGTATATACACACATATAGACACAGTACACAGAGGGGGGGGAGAGAGAGAACTGCCTTAGATGATACTTTCCATATAGAAATAATCTTTATATCAAAAAAATCAGTACAAACTTCTGTAAACCTGAATTACATTTAATTTGTTTACGTGGGATTCTAAACTTGAAAATTTCTCTGCTGATGGTTAAAAAAAAGTACTAACACCATAGTTTGTAACTTGAAACACACTGAGCTCCTGATATCAAAATAATTGCATTGTTGCATTTCCAAGGCAAGTATGCAGTTGTAGAATACATTTTTACATAAAAATCTGAAATCTTAATGCCGTGTGAGGGAGAGATCCATTTATTTTCCACTAATAATTCTTATATTACAAACTTTACTGCTGGATCATATGTAAATATGATACTAGAATAAACATTCTAGTATCTTAGTATCAACACCAACCAGAGAAATGGTCCCAGTAAGATCACTAACAGACATGCAGGGAATTACTCCCTTGTCATTTTCCCAGTATTTGATGATCAGAGGTATAGACTCCTGCTCTTTTGTTTGCTTTGAATTTTCTACTAACCATTTATTTGACGACACTTTTCAATAAATGCAAAATAGAGAAAAAGCTCTGTATCCATTTCTCCACGTTATATAGTTTATGTTTTCTTCTTTTTTTATAAATGAAAAGAAACTTAAAATGCTTTACTCTTTCTACTTATAGAAGATTCTCTTGACTATTAATGCTTTTAGTTCTTTTATCTGGACATTTTCGACTAATCCAACTGGTTTTGCATTTGATATAGCTGAGTTTGCACAAGCAAGATTCAGGTTCAAATTCCTGCTCAAAACTCACTGGGTGGCCTCTGACAAATCATTTGATCTCAGTCTCAGTATCTGAGGGAGTAATGAATGCTTTAACATTATAAATAACAAAGATAAAACACGTGTTATAGAGAAAGAGATGTCTCTTTGTTTTTACTTAAAGGAGAAAACTATCCTTTGTCTTAAGGAAACATTGCATATGGCAAACTACTAATGAAGTAACAGATAAACTGTAAAATTTAACTGTGTTAACATAGTCATGGTTGATGCTATATTTCCCCAGATGTTCTTTAAAAAACAGCAAAATCACATCTAAGATCCATATTTATCTTTCTACCTGCCTATCTCCATTCAAAACAGTAGCAAAACAGGATTCATGTTTCTCTAAATCATTCCAAACAAAGCACCCAGAAGATATAGAGCAGGGGAGTCAAACTCAAGATGTGGTCTGATCTGGCCTGTGAGGCTGTCCTGGGTTACCCAATGCAAAGAGGAAAGATCAGGCCAGCGTGGCTTCAGTCCGGTCTACCCAATACAAAGATCAAAGATCAGGCCAGCCTGGCTTTGGCTTGGTCTACCCAATGCGAAGAGGAAACATGCCAGCAGTTTGGGGAGTGGCGTCAAGCTGGTCATATCTACCTAGTTGGCCACATCCACTCAGTCGGCCACACTCACCTGGCCCCCCGAGGTCAACCACAACCCTTCGATGCAGCCCTCAATGAAATTGAGTTTGACACCCCTGATATAGAGTGAACACAAACTGTATACTCTAATGAAATAGTCCAGATTCAACCAACTATTCTCATATAATAAAATCAATAATGCTGCTCTGTAACATTTGAGAAGACTAAAGAAGCTACATATAAATGGTAATCAGTACCTCTGTATTTCATTAACTATTGTTCCTGAAGCACTTGCTGTATTTGATTTGCAAACGTTCTCTCCATCTGATCATCTCTTTTCTCATATTCTTGAATAAAGACAATGCATTGTATCTTATCCGTATTAACTCTCTCCTTAAAAGACTGGAAAATTTTCTACTGACTACACATAGTAAGTTCAATCCATCCCAAAGTTCACATTAAATGAGGCCACCATAAATATAAGAACATATACAGTCTATTCAGCCAATTATCCTAGAACCAGGACAGTCTGGTTCATTTCTGTCTAAACTTTCTTCAAACATTCACATCTTTTTTAAGCTGCAAAGTGGGTTACAAAACTGTAAGACATGAGGATTTTAATATGTAAATGTAGTCCAATTTACTTTTACAGAATCAGGAAGTGTAAATGGATGAAATCAATCAAAAGTAGTATTCAGATACATCTGCTATTCTCTATTATGTTGTTATTAGTTGCAAAGTGGTGTCCAACTCATCGTGACCCCATGGACAACATTCCTCCAGGTTTTCCTGTCCTCTACCATCTTCTGGAGTCCATTTAAGCTCATGCCTACTGCTTCAGTGACTCCATCCAGTCATCCAGTGGTGGGATTCAAATTTTTTCACTACCGGTTCTATGGGTGTGGCAGTAAAATCTCCAGTCAGAGGTGGTATTTGCCAGTTCTCCAAACTACTCAAAATTTCCACTACCGCTTCTCCACAACTGGTCAGAATACTGCTGGATACCACCTCTGCAGCCACCACATTCTCTATCATTCCCTTCTTCTATTGCCCTTAATCTTTCCAAGAATTATGCTCTTCTCCAGTGAGTCCTTCCTTCTCATTAGGTGGCCAAAGTATTTGAGTTTCATCTTCAGGGTCTGGCCTTCTAAAGAGCAGTCAGGATTGATCTCCTCTAGGACTGACTGACTTGATTGCCTTGCAGTCCAAGGGACTTTCAGGAGTCTTCTCCAGCACCATAGTTCAAAGGCCTCAATTCTTTGGCACCCAGTCTTTATCGTCCAAATTTCATAGATCAAATTGCATATTTTATATATTGTACCACTGAAGTGTACAGGTAGTTCACAAGTTAAGACAATTGGGAATTTTTGTTGCTAAGCAATGTGGTTGTTAAGAGAGTCATGCACAATTTTATAATCTTTTTTGCTATGGTCATTAAGCAAATCACATGATCTTTAGATAAATTCAGCTTCCCTGACTTTTTTTTGTCAGAGGTTTGTTGGAACCCAAAGACACTGCAACTGTTATAAATAGATGCCAGTTGGTCATGTGACTGTTGGGACACTGTGACAATCCCAAAAATGAGGACATTCACATCATAAGAGTGAAGATAGTTGTAACTCTGACTGGTCATTAAACGAGCAATCAAAAGTCAAAGACTACTAATTATGTCTTGGTTTGTATATGCCATGTCAGTTATTATACTACAATCTGCTCAGATCTGACATGGAACTGTAAGTGAAGTTTGTAATCCCCAAATGCCTTTTTTATTATTTTGATTATTAATATTTATATGAGTGCCATGTTAAAATTCATAGTACTCTGATTAATCTTAATCCCTTTTCTATTTTGTCACACAATGCAGATGAAGCAAGTATTTAGCAATCTCTATTTTATAATATTGTCTCAAAATTCTTCATACATACTTCTCATAACTTATCTGACATTGCCAATTCAGCTTCAGATATTTGAATATTTGCTACCTTTCTGTTACTTAATGATTACAATAAGGTCTTTCTTTTTCATCTTTCAAAAGTTGCATACAATCCATACCTGAAATGTATGACTGAATGGGTCGAGCTCTTTAAAATCCTTGTGTTACATTTACATATTTGGGGGGGGGGGGTATGCAAAATTATGCTCTAGTCCAGGGGTGCTTAAATCCGGCCCCCAGGGCCAGCCTGGAACTATCAAAGGACCAGGCCACAGTGCCTCTGGCAACTAAAACAGACTGCATGCACACATACCCCCGCACCTCGTTTTCACCCTCCATGGCCTTCTGCAGCACTCTGCTGGCCGAAAATGGCCCAGAAAATGCCCCCAAAATAGCCTAAAAAGGACCAAAAATGGGCCAAGAAAGGGAAGAAAATGGGCTGAAAAACAGGCCAAAAACGAGCTGGAAATGGGCCAAAAACAGCGCTTCCCACGAGATAATCTCTAAAATTGTCTTCTCACAACCATTTGGAGGTTGAGAGAAACAAATATGTTACCAGCCCAGTAAAAATTTGTCTTCTATCAATTTAACCCTTTCAGAATATATTGACTATGCCCAATAGTGGAATTTCTCACACTCACTACAGGAGCAAAAAAAAAAGATACCACAGAGTACTCCCAAAGCGAAAGAAACAAAGGATTACAACTGTCTCTAATTATTCCTGTCTCCTGTAGCCACTATCCAGTGCAGATTTTTTTGAAATGTCTTGTTTTAAAAACCATGATTTCTTATCTGTAAAATGATCAATCCATAGACTTCTGCTCTATACAACTGGGGTCAAATTCATTTTTCTGCGCTAATGAAAATCTTGGATTTTCTCTAAAGTGCTACATATTAATAAAATGTAGTAACATTAATTACTGTATAGCTAAGTACTTCTCATATCAACTTGCAACTTTAAAGTGATATTCTTGCCTCCAATGTTCGTAAGAGAATGCATTTTCTTGCTTTCATACCAATTGGTCAAAAGCAAGACTGGCAAAGAAAGAAGAGATGAGGTAGTTGGATATGCTAAGGAAGTTATCTTTAGGATGCTTAATATTTTTCTGGCATATGCCTCTATATTTTCATAAAATAATGTATTTTCAAACTCAACATGTCGATATAATTGTTCTACTGGGGATCAGCTCCATTCACATGAATGGGATGCATTCTAGCAGAACTAAAAGTAATTCAGCCAAAACCTATTTAGAAGTAGAGAATTTTGCTTCAATGGAAAGAAGATAAAATA